TTTAATTAAAAATTTAAAAAATAATAATTATTTTAAAAGAGAAAGAACATCAATTATGAGCAGAACCAAACGTTCTCTCAACGGATTTTGAGGACATAGCTAACATAACAGTTTCTGCTTTGTTTTTCAATTTTCATGGTGTATAACTAATGAATAACACCATCCATGCAATCAAGCTCATTCTTATCATGCCACGTCATTATATACAAATTATTTCCAAAAAAAGGAATGGAGGAGAGGCCATTGATTGTGCTGTTGTTCATTTGTCATGGTTGTCTTTGGCCGTTTGCATATAAATGGAAAATGATAAAAATTACCATAAAAAAAATAGGAATCCACAAAATCCACATACTTCCTTTTTTCTATATGAACAATCCACAACTATTATTATTACCATAAAAAAGAAAAAAGAAAAAAATGGAAACATCAGACCTTGCTCTTATGTTCAGGCTAATGAGTGAACTCGAAATCGATATGAACAAAGGCTCGCCCAACTTCAGGCAGTTAGTCTAGCTTCACCTGCAGTGTTTCACCAATATTGTGTGCCTTGCTCAAGAGCACCATGCTTGTCTTCAGGCCGGGCCATTTCTACCTCTACAGCATGGTGTTAATATCTTAGTTAGAAGGGAGCTCTAACGTTCATTTTTTTTTTGTTTTATTTGAGCAAGAGTAATATGTTAGGCATTTTTGGAGGAGGAAAGGGTACGAGAAGCACTTGAACACAAGTCTGATAAAAATCTTTATGTAAGGAGTTATTATTTACCCTACTTAAGGGTTTTTCTAATGACCTAATCATTATGTCTTAAGAATTTAATAATTATTATTTCGTTCTTTATTAACCAAAAAAAAATTATTCTAATTGATAATTTTTAATTTAGAGTTTTAACATTTTATCTATATAAGATAAAAAGCAACACGTATCTTATTGTTTTCTAGGTACAATTTATTTTTTAAAACAAGGAAAAAAATCATCACCTCTTGATTTCGTCTTTCGTGCAATCAGCACTGTATGCTTTTGTTTTATTTTTATTTTTTTAGCGGATTACAATTTTAAGGGAAGAACATTCGAACTCCTGTTATAAGATTACACCAATATAATTATTGGCACAAAACTCAAATGCGCTTTTGTTTTAAGTTACTAGTTTAACAAATTAAGGAAATGTGAAAGGTAAGTTCTTCATTATTGTTATTGTAAGTGGACTCTCTCCTTTAATTTATTCGAAAGAAGAAAGTTCTCACGGCAAAAATAATGAAAAGGACAATGATACTTATGACGATGTAATGGGATGAATTTATGAGACTAATGTTATCATGAATACGTTAATTTTAAAAAAGTTAATAATATAAAGAAATTTTTTATAATTTTTATATATTATGATTAGATGTATATAATATTATAAATTTTATTAAAATAAAATAAAATAAAAAAGAGTAGATAATTTTTTATATAATTTTTATATATTATTTAAAGAGTAAATATA